TGAGGCTTCAGTTGTCGGACTTTCTTGAGCAACTGTGCAGCAGCGAAACCCATCTGCACTGTGCGCGGTGTGCTGAACGACATCTGTGGCTGCTCTATCGTGGGCCATTCATCCTGCGGCCACTCGACTGTTGTGAGAAAGGTTTCGCGACCCATCGGTGCTGACTCCTGGTCTCCTCGTACCCCTAAGACTACAGCCCACCATTCCCCATTCACGTCTTGGAAGATCTCACCGTGGCCAATGTTCTGCACATATTCGTTCGTGCCATCTGCAGTCAGTACAGGGTTGTGCGGACATTGCTCATACGGACCCCATATATCTCTCGAACGTGCCATTGATAGCATATGATGCGCGAACGTTCTGCCCTGTGCTACAAGTAAGTAATACCAGCCATCTTTCTTGTAGATGTGGGGGCCTTCGGCATCGCCATCCGGAAAGGCACCCAGTATTTCTCTGGTTTCAGATAAGTGTTGTCCGGTTTTCACATCGATCTCAAACTGCTTGATCGTACAAGTAGGCTCCCGTATGCGATTCATCATCCATGAGCCTTGAATGTAGGCGCGATTATCGTCATCGAAATAGAGAGAAGGGTAAATGCCGTAGAACTCAAAGGGTATCGCATCGCTCCAAACATCCGACCAAATGTCTCTTGTGTGGATTAGGAAATTGTCTGTCCTCCAGTTGTTGCGTTCGGGATAGCAGTTGGTACAGACGATGTAGAAGACGCCGTCGTGATAACGGATCGTGGGTGCGAATAGACCTCCGGATGCTACCATGACATTGCCGTCATGGAGCGGCATCGCGGCCGTGACAGCATTGCTGAGGTCGAGCTGTGAAGATCTATTGATCGCGTTTCCTAGAACGCTTCAGCCGACGCCCACATCGTTGCGGTATAAGCACACAAACGAACCGATGTGTTTCCAGTCTTGGAGATTTGTTGATGCATATATCGGAATACCAGGAAACAGATGGAAAGAAGAAGTCGCGAGATAGTAGATTCCGTTCAGAAGGACGACAGATGGATCAGGAGCGAAGCCGGGTATGATGGGATTCTGGAACATGGCCTCAAGCTTTCAGTGTGCACAGTGAGACAGCGATCGAGAGGTTTGCAAAGTTCGGAAGATGACGCGACGTGGACTGAGTCGCGTCGAGCGGTTCCGGTCGGAGAGAATTGCCAATTGCGGGCTTGATAGCAAAGTGGATTCGTTGTTCGCTGTCGGGCTGGATTACTACTCCGTCAAGTAGGATTCCCACTCTGTCGTGTTGGTATTACTCCATGGGGAAATCCGGATCCCGTATTTTGCGCCTCTGTTTCACCACGGAGAAATTCCAGGCGCTATACCAAAAGCGCACCGGAGCTGGTCACTCCACTGCCCGTTCAGTCGTAATCCGCAGCCACAATCCCCGGCAGTTGACAAATCGTCGGGTAGCGCATATGCATGATTCGGGGGCTGCCATTTCGCCGTGGAGGAATTTCACGCTGCCTTTATCTCTGGCACGAGCGCAGACGAGTAGATGTTCCCGCGACGAGTAGAAGTATCGCGACTACGACAACGTGTAAATGCATTCCGAGCATAGCATTCAGGCTGCGAACAATTTTTCTTCCCATCCTTCGTGACCGCACTGGTGATGCATACTGCTGGAAGGGTCAACTGAAGGAGACGCCAACGGCAAAGACGCGCCAGTATAGACCGGGGATCACAAACGTTATCTTGAAAGCCCAGCTTCCGCAATCTTGGGCAGCGAGAATACGCCCTGGCTGGTTTTTATTTCTTTCGTTTCCTCTCTGATTCATAATTGACTGGTTTAGAACGTGTATTCGCGCGTTCAGTTTGGTTTCGAGTTTGATTTGGTCGGCAACATCATCCCGATTCCCGCATCATTAGATTGGTTCGACTGAGGCAACAGTTGATGGCGCCATTGAAACAAGCACGCGCAATTAGCAGGTACTCAATACTCGAACGATTGTTGATGTCCTGGTGGCTGCAACCCACGGTGGCTTTATTGCGGATGAGATCGGTCGTCTCAAAGTCGTCCTTTCCGGTCGTTTGCCCCGCGCTGCTGGCATCGTCATTCAAGATACCGTCATCTCATATACGTTGCTTCCATGGGGAACGCTCATCGACACGCTCAAAGACAGTTTGCGACATGAGCTCGCTCCCGTATGTCTCGAAAACATGCCAGGCGATCTGCGGGGTATATGCTTGTCTTTGGTATTCGATTCGATCGCCTTGTTTTATAGGTTGGGCGACATAACTGATTCTGCCGGGATGCCATGGTCGTCGCCAGCCAGTGGTCTCGCATATTCGTCGGCTGTGATACATCGTACATCGAAAGTGACTGGGGATGGCGCATGCCTATCCTTGCGCAGCTACTGACTCCAGTGCTGACAATGGCCTTGGGCACGTTACCCCTCCCCTAGTCTCGTTCATGGCTGATCTCTAGCGGGTAGCACGAGTAAGCCAACACAGCCCTTCAAACGCTCAACGACCCAAGCTAAATAGCCATTTGCGGTAACGGAAGCGGCGATACAGAAGGAGCGCATACTTCCATTCAAGTGTATGTAGTACCCAATTTGCGCATTGCGCTGATGGCACTTCTTGAGCGCATCACCCAACGGTTCAAAAGCCGCGATTATAGTCCAGCTCTTCGGAAACACGAGAGTCAAGTCTTGATAGCACATCCAAGAGGGTGAGGAACAATGACTTTGCACGTTCCTTCAGGGATAAGTTATCAGTCTCTTGGACAATTTTGAGAAGAGTCGCTCCCATGCGTCGTATCATTTGCACCTGCGACGCTGTCAGTGATGCTACTTGGATGAAGATAAAGTGAACCTACGCAGGGCTCCCCATTCACTTGAAGGGACTCAAAGGATGCTTCTGAAAGTATGCGGACCATGTCACTAGCGACATCGATCTTCCTCAACGCAATCCCATATGCCCTCCCGGGAACGCCGAGATGCTCAGCTACTCCGCCATCGTAGAATCTCTGAAGCAGGACTAGCTTCAGACAATAGTAGGTGATGCAAAGATTTACTCTTTGGAAATCGAAAGCTCGTTGAATCCTGGCCATGGTTGCTGGATCAGATGAATTCGTAGTCTCTGGGACCTTGACATCAAATCGGAAGTGATCGATCATGCCAATGAAGTCGAGGTAGTCGGTGATGACTATCGTGTGTTGAGGGCCAACCAGCGCAGAGCCATCCGTAATGCCTTCGTTCCAAACATCCAAAGTGTCGAACTTGATGATTATGTCGGATGCTTTCGTCCATAGGTCTTGACAAAGATCAAATCCTTGGCTGACCATGCTCTCTATATCGAGAGCGTTTGGGGTGGTCGAGTGGTCTAGCAAAGGCGCATCGGATGAGGGCCGGCGCCAGTAAGATGAGGTGGGCTTAGCTCCTACACAAAGGCGATGTAGCGATATTGGACGACTGTTAAGGATGGATGCGGACCTGTCGGCAGTATGGATCTGCCAGAATATGTTCTTCAACAGATGTTCCTCCACTGGATCAAGATTCTCGAATGAAGATTCTTCGTAGAGCCGCATATCTTGTGTCAGGCGTATAGCTTCCCCTAGTATGTGCCAGGATAATCGCGTTTTGCCAACAGCACGTAACGCGTTGGAATGGTAGTATCTCGTCACCAAAGCAGTATAGTCGGGCTGTTCAATGTCTTCGAGATGTATGCCAAGTCAGCCGAAGTATTCGTTCAGAGTGTTAGGAAAGTATCACAAACCGTAATCTTGATGTAACTTCAGCATTTCGCGTGAGGCCGTAAGGAATTGACCTCCTATCTCTTCTCGCATTGGGAAGACAGACGCAGGTAGCATGAGAGCTGTGACCGCACAAATCGCTGTCAAGAGTGTGCGGTTACGTAATGGCGCCATATCTCCAGAATCGTGATCTGGTGGCTGGGATGCTGATGAGGGACTGAGAACGCCGTGGGCACCATCACCTTCCAGCAGGGGTATCATGGCGCGAATCGACGGTTCGTGAACAGTGGGCACTAAAGGAAAGATAAAATGCATGTACAAGGTGACTAACTGATCCGCAATGATGTGGGGTGCGAGCTCCGGCTGTAGTCGCAAGTGAGGTGAGGACTGTGAGTGTCGCGCCGCAGTCGAAGAAGCGCCTGTTGACGTGGTTGTTGGAATCCGCGCCTGGACTATGGTATTACCGGAGCGGGAATGACCTTGGTGCGCCTGGCCATTTGTAGCTAACATCGATCCATTCTCAGAAATTCTGAAGGTCGGTTGCGTCGTCGCATCTCGTTTGCGTTTGGGCCCTCTCTTCTGAGGTGCTATTGTGTAAACACACTCCAATCGAGAGATGTGGCAATTTGAACATGGTGTAGATATTGCATCGCACTGATGTTGTTAGCAAAACCGTTGAATGTATATTCTCTTCGTCGCGTGCGCGCTCTATGTCTTACCCTGACTTTGCGACGCTTACAGGCATCGCAGGCTCTTTTCGTGACAGGGGCGTTTGGCCTGGTGGTGTCATCAGGCACGTTGATATCTCCGTATGGAGCGTCAGGAAGTTCCTCGAGAGATGTCATCGGATATTTTGCCGCACCTGAAGAATATGAGGTGCGGGCGGAATGGTCGCAGGGGTAAATCTCCGTGGAGAAATGAGGATGGGGAAATTCCAGGCCTTCCGGGTCGGCAAAACTCAGACGTTAGGCCACATTGAGCGATAGTGTGCAGCTACCTCAAATTGCCCCATGCACATGACGTCGCGACGCTTTTCGTGCATCGCGACTTGCTACGGTTATCTGCCGTCACGAACCTCGTGACGGCATGACTTGACGATAAAAACAACATGCGTAGGATAAGGTTTTGAGACCGAGTGAAGTGCAAGCAGATTGCAGAAGAGCTCACACGGGCAGTCCCACATTGCTCATGTCTTTGCATGCAAAGTCCCGAGCAGCGCAGCATGCGATTTGTGTGAACGACTATTTGTTTGCATTGCTGATGAATACGATCTCAAAGAATACAAATTAAACCTTCTTCCAAGCCCACCTCTTACCCATCCACTTCACCAGATACACCAGCCCGATCAACACAGGGACTTCGATGAGAGGTCCTACTGTAGCCGCGAGTGCTTGATCGCTATTGGGCCCATACGTAGCCACAGCCACAGCTATGGCAAGCTCGAAGTTATTGCTCGCAGCCGTGAAGCTCTGGGTCGCCCCCAACTTGTATCCATACCCAAGCTTGTTGCACACGAAGAGTGTAAAGAAGAAAATTACGACGAAGTAGACGATCAGTGGTGCGGCGGTTCGAACAACGGAGACGATCTGATGAACGACCTGTCGACCCTGAGAGGCGAATAGAACGAGGATGGTGTACAGAAGACCAATAAGTGACCATGGCGCAAGCCACTTGAGGAAGACTTTCTCGTACCACTCGGCGCCTACCAGCTTGCGAAGCAGAAGACGTGTCAAGATGGCAGCACCGAGGGGTATACCGAGGAATACTGCGACGCTCGTGGCAACTGTTTCGTATGAGACGGCGACGGTGCCGGTTTCGCGACTGATGACCTTGATGAAGAGGATGGCGAGGGGAGCGTAAAGTATCATCTGGAGGATGGAGTTGACTGCTACTAAGATTGCGCAGTATTCGTCATCGCCGCCAGCAAGCCCGTTCCAGATGAGGACCTAGAAGCGGGTGTAAGTAAGCGAATGAGAATCGAAGACCGGGTAACGTACCATGGCAATGCACCGGGCCAACCCGACTAACACCAGCCCTGTCCGTAAGTCGCTCTGGTCGGGTAGGAAGGCCCACGCAAGACCGAGCTGGAAGGTGTCAGCCGATTGTATACAACGCCAGTTTGAGATACTACATACCATGAGCAGCGGAGCGACGATCCAGTTCATGACAATGCTAAAAGCAATCTGTATCCAGAGGGCGCGGGTGCGGAATAGACGATGTAGAGTTTCGTAACGCACTTTGCAAAGGATAGGGTACATCATGACGAGCAAGCCTAAAGCGATAGGAATGGACACCCCTACGAACTTGCCCTTCTGAAGCGCTGGTCCAGCTTTCTCGACGAAGTTTCCGAGAAGAATACCGATTGCCATAGCGAAAAGGATCCAGAGAGCTAGGAAGCGGTCGAGCCATCCCAGTCCCTTTATGACAGAGATGTTGCTCGGTACTGCTTGCTCCTGAAGCTGTAGACTTTCTGGGTCTGAGTCTTTGTCGGATGTAGACGGCTTGGTAGAATCAGGCCGTAGCCCTTGAGTCGGCGACGAGGTCATGGTGCTTGTGCTTGTGCTGGCGCGATGCGGTTCTTGCATCGATTTCTTGAGTGCAAAGTAGCGCTGATGAAATGACACCACAAAATGTATGTGGAATGGACTGGACTGGTCTGTCGGTATCGAGGGCTGTGTAAAGGTCAAAGCAGGAGTTGCCAAAAGAAGATCGTGTTGATGCTGCTGAAAACCTAGCTTTCTCTCCTTTTACATTGATTATCGCGGATTAAGACAGTGAACAGATGACAACGAGTCCAATCAGGGTTCAGCAATGACATCCGGAGGAAGACGTACGTAGAATAAAGCTCAAGGTAATCCAGCTGTCGTTGAGCCAATCATCGTTGACCAGTGACTTACCAAAGATTTCGACGCTAACATATGGAAGCCCCTCTAGGTCCGCAATTGCCTCCAAATCCTATGGATAGTTGCAGTTTTGCGAATGCTTACGAAAATTGCATATTGGCCACCTGGTGGATGAATGACACCATCTTACCGTAGCACGCTGACTATACAGTGCCAAGCACGCCCGCCTCCATACGCCGAGACGACGTTCAGGACACGACGAAGCAAAGCGAAGAATCTTCCAGCAGAATTTGTGTCCTTGCTGACTTGCGTCGCAAGAGCTGTGAGGTGACTTCTCGCCTTTTCCAAATCTCTCATCCGTGGAGCGGACCTTTCGGGTCAGAGCCGCATGGTGTGCGGCGCTATCAACGGTTTTGCACCGAGTCTATGCTCCACGACACCTACACTATATCCCTTGTTCAAGGAGGGAAGTCGACGCAGATGGATTCGGTCTTGCTGGAGAACCAGACCTTGTGTTCGGTAGCCGTTAGGCTTCAAGCAATACTAACGCATGCCAAATCCTACTTCCTCGAAGGGATGTGGTACGCGTACCCGTGCCGCACGTTGATGTGCCGAACGCATAGCCAACCAGTAGGTCCACTGGACGAACAGTCTTGTAGTTTTCGGTGGCGCGAAAGAAGTAGCAACAGCGCGCGATGAGTACGTGCAGTGGAGGATGAAACATGATGCCAAAGTCCGGTCACCAGGGCAGCGTTCCTTCCGACGAACAACAGGCCAGTGAACAGTAGCATCGAATGGAACGTGTTCGATCCAAGACGTTTACAGATGGTATCATCGACAGTCTGTCATTCTCTTCGCTCTCCGATGTCAACGCCACAGAACCGAACCTCGAGCCTCTCTTTCGTTCATACCAGTATTCCCCCATGCCCTTGTCCGGGATGAGGTCTGGATTTCGACAGCCGGTCTTGTTGGATAGGATCATGCGCTCATAGCCGCACTGCAGGTCGCTTAATAGTGACATGCTCTAGCCTTGGAATTTTGCCGTCATCGTACAGGGTGAACCTTCTACTCAGGGAGGTAGTGCGTGTTTCAGCCTTTGGTATGGATGCAGTTGAATGCAAAGCGGTTCGAGGTCGGGGTCCGCCTTGTATCCGCCGCTAGACGACCCAGCTCGGTATTGCATGCTTGGGAAATGTTTCTGAACCGAAGCGGGTGGTGCGTACATGGTAAGAGGCACTGTAGATTGCGGTGCCTTGTAGGTCGTTTGACGCATATCTGCTATTCAGATAGGGGAGGAACGATGGGGACGGCTAATGCCCGGCACGCTATCCTAGTTTGATCGCTAGCGCGGGCGGCTAGTGGCGTGCCGTTCCCGAACCTGCCCCGAGGTGGAGTTCACACACTTTCACCCTCGTCTGCGCCCCAACACAGCTCAATACCTGTCGCCATGCAGGCTCTGGCCCCCCGTCTTCTGGGAACTTCACATTTGCCGACTTATTACTTCTCGCGTTAGAACGTCATCGACGCCTCTGCTATCACTGCATCGCCCACCCTGCAGCCTTGACGCGACGGTGTGGCTCACGCCTTGGCTTTCTTTTATTATGCCCGAGGCTGAGCGTGTCTGGGGTAGCACCAGTCTGCGACGCCTCGCTGAGTACTATTTCTCGACAACGTGGTCGCACGAGACTAGTAGCCTGAGAACTAAGGTGTCACGAGGCGGGCAGCTGCGGAGTGCACAGGCGAGTGTTGGTTGATGATCGGCCCGCCATACCTCAGCGTCGGCCAGACAGCTGTTCCCGATACACCTGCGCGAACCGAGGAAGCTGATGATTGTACGGGCCTCAAGATCACGTTCAGTTAAAGACTGCCCTGGTTCATCTGCAGCATGCGACCGATATCCCAGGCTATGTCCATCGCGATTCAGCTAGGTTGATGGTAGAGTTCTACCTGTCCTACGTGGATACAGCCCTAAACTATACCAAATGCTGCTTAACACGCTATTGTGTACCTGTACATCGGGTATTTTACCGACACATCACCAGATCAAGCATGCGAGGCTTGTTGCGCACCGCAACAAAACCGATTAGCGTCGTTCTTTTTGTGCAGCAGAGCCAAACTAGGTATGTCATCTAGGAAACCCCACGCGCCCATTGAACCAGTCCCATGTAGAGACCGTCCGCAGATGATTTACAGGGGTCGATGACTGGGAGGCCTGGCACCGCGACCCTGAATTAATGTTGCTGCAAGACAGGAAGACCTCCCCGAACAGGTGGAACGTCTCTAAGACCCCCGTGGAGATTCAATCTATCCAATGCGGTCAACTTATTCACCCGCGACCGCAGCCTCAGGTCACCGAGCCTCATAAAATACCGACTGTGTGGCACGGCATCCATTGTCATAGCCACCTCTGCACAGGGGATAGCTATGAGCATGCGATTTCTTCGTCATTGAAGAGCCACTACCACAAAACTCACACGAAACGCTTCTATGGAAAATGCTTTGGTGCACACACAGTTCCATGTTCCTCGGGAGGATTTTCAAACAGAATCGGCGAGCAACGACACGCATATCTGGTTCGCAGCCTGTCCGACATACGCTAGGCTCGATGAAGCATGTATGCTCGCCTGTAAGCCTTCAGCCCCCATGTTTCCATTCAAGGCACTTCCGGCGCGATGGTTGCAGCATTCCCTGTTCATGCAGAGCCAAGCATCAGCTCACACCTAACCTAGCAGCCACCTGCATGGCGGATACGCCTACGACGGGGTGGATCCAACCACCATCGTTCTTACAACAAACCTAGTTCAGACTGGAGCTATCCGATCGCCCATCATTCTATATAATATGTGCTTCTCGATGTCTACTTCCGCACTCCATCCCACAGTCACAACATCACACAACACAATGTTTCAGCCTTCGACTCAAGCTCTCGCACCGTGTCCGCCACAATCACCTCCTACCGAAGACATGGTCGTTGGGCCAGGAATCACCTTCTTATCGACTGGTTTGCATGGGGAACAAAAGCCTCGCAAGATGAGAGCTTCCTGCGACGCTTGCTCTCGTGCTAAGGTACACGATCTACCCTTTCATCGAATTGCCCACAGTCTCTAACGCCGATGCCAGGTCAAGTGCGACAAAGTCAGACCAATATGCCACCGATGCGGCACCATGAGTATCTGTTGCAATTACTCACCCTCCATGAGGTATGTCAGCTTTGTCTTCGGCCCAGCATTCGAGCTTACGCGTTTACAGACTTGGAAAGCCACGCAAGAACAGGAATTTTGATGGATCTATCAAGCGCGAGATCTCACCAGCGGGCTCTTACGTACCGCTTGGAGCTAGAATGGATCTACTTCCACGCACCGCATTATACAAGTACGAAAGCTCTCCAGAACCGACAGATCCCTTCTACTTCGGTCCTCGTACTCCAGAGTACCACTATCAAGACGCGTTCATTGGCGACACGTTTAGCAGTAGCCACTCTTCCGTGGGCTCCGAAGGTGCCAACTCACGTGTCAATGCCTGGCCAAACGATGAACAGATGTTGTATACAAACAACACAGAGATGTTTGCTCCAGTACCCCAGTATCCTCCGCCGGCCACGGCTTTTCACGGACACGTTCACGTTCGGTCGACCAGCGTTTCTAGTCAACCTGACATGGTAGCATCGCTAGGGCGAACTCAGACCCCGGCAGCTATCAGCCATCAGTTTCAAGGCATGCCTGTCTCGCATGATACACAGCAAGAAAAGATCATGGCTTCTCCACCGCCCATGGCATCGGCGCCTTTACCAACACCACCAGATTCCAACATCTTTCTGAGGCATGACTGCACCCAGTTCGCGTTCCAAATACTTTGCAGCTTGTATATGCCACCTGAGAACCAGCCTACTGCTGGTGACTTCAGTTCGCTCGACGGTCTCCCCAGTTCAGGGTCTGTACTTCCAACCAACGTAGCCGCCGTTGACAACCTCTACACACTCTTGAGCTGCGATTGCTCATCGAACCCCCACTTCTCAGCTACAGTCAACCTAGCTATCATGAAGATACTTTCCTGGTATCAAGCGATGGCAGGTGGCGATCAGCAAGGCGATAGCTATCCTATCGAAACGTACATGAAGACTCTGCCGTATCAGCAAAATTTGCGCGGTGCCTTAGACTCTGAGCAGGAGCAGGTCTACCAAACCAACCTCATCCTCGCCGAGCTCTGCAGAATTGAGAAGCTTGTCGATAAGTTCTCCGAGCGCTACTGCAATGCTGCCAACACAGCCGAGACAGGCATTGATTGTGCTGTGTATGTCGCTATGGAGGCTTCGCTTCGAACTCGTGTCCGCGATACTTTCAAAATCACCATGTCAGTCGCACCGGAGAACGTCAAGCGTCAGATGGCATCACGAACACAAAGCCGTCTGCGTGTCAACACGGTGTAGCTTTTGTTTTTCGCCCCGAAGAATCTTCATTCCCTTGTCTAAAGCCGCACTTTAATGCCGCTGCAGTGGGTGTGAGCGACGCACGCCTTGCTCTGGCTGCGTCAACTGCATATCTCGTTTACTTCCGCCGGCTCATTACACAACCTGTATATACTCATCATTGCCAACTCACTGATCGACTTCGGACGATACAACGCAGCAAGTGTACTCTACCATTACCGAAATCTCATTGGTGCAACTGTAATGTATTATCTATCATGAACCTTATCTTCACATT